GTAATATCTGTCGCTTATGAACTCTTTGTTGTCTACCATACACGGACCAGATCCAACCGATTTACCGATATTTTACGGACTCCAAAACCGATTGTGGTAAAAAGTAGTAAGCGCTTGTTGTGCGAAAAACAGCGACATCTACCAAGAACGGTGAGAAATACTCGGTATCAGTTTTAATCGGTTATAATTAATAACTGGCATGGTGTAGTTTTGTACTGCGGAAATCGATGGGCGCTCGCCCCTCGGGACTTGAAGTTTTTTTTTCCCGTTGAATTGCCGTCGCGGGAGCACGAGTAATTACACTTTTGGATGCAAAAGAAACAAAATCAATACCGTTCCTCCGGCTGTACGTTATTTTTTTTTATTTTTTTTTTGCCCATCGCTTTAACGTTGACGAGTCGTGGAAAACTCGTGACTTGTACAGAGGGTTTTGCTTTGTCCGGACAACACCCAAATAATTGGCACAATCTTTCGGGACACGCGGTGTGCACATTTGGTGGCCGTGTCTCCCTACGGATTTGTCGCCAATGTCAGCAAAACGCCTCGCCCCATTCTTCTGCTACATTTACACACAATGCCGTGGAAAATGATTGGCAATTATGGCATTGTGGCGCGATACCTACGACTGTTCGTCTTTCGCAGGCACTTTCGGCCGTTTGTAACGCCGCGCAGTTTTGCCACGCGAAGGGCAGCGTCGGCGGGGCGGTCTTTGTATGGGGTGGAAACCGCATGGCGCATCGTCTGACAATGGACCGAATCACACAACAAACACAACACTCAGCGTTTCGTTTCAAAAACCTATCTCTCCTCTCTCTCTCTCTCTCTCTCTCGTTTATCCTCGCACTTGGTATCTTAAAAAAATGTAAAAAAAATTACCTTTAGCCATTTTAGCCTATTTCGAGGTTTTAGTTTCATAATAACGCGTATTTTTAAATATTTTCATATTGTGTTTATCTAAAAGTACCGCTAAAATATTTTTTTTTTTTTAAATAGAGAATTATAATATGGCAAAAATGTTTATTGTCAGATGGAAAAGGAAAAAATGGTACTCGTTTGTTTGTATAATTAGTCGCCACACAATTAAAAATTGTTCAATTGCATAAATAGGTGCTATGTTAGTACTGTTGTGTATATTATTTTATATTATCAATGTAATAAATTAGATGCCAGGTAAATGTAGGTGTATTTATCTTGTGATTTATTAACTAACGGAAATTATGAAACTTTAAATTGCGGTAAACTCTAGAAAGTATTTCGGCAATGACATTATTTCACATTATTGTAATTCAAAAGTCTGACGCGCTTTTCTTTATATACATACAAATTATACATATTACATATGTACATGATGTCAGACGGTTAGACGCCCAAGGTGTGCATTTTTAATCATTTACAGGGCAAAGGCATTTGATTTGGCGAAAATTCGCCGCCAGATAATGTACATGAGCGCTGCGAGAAAGACATTAGAAAGATAATTACTATTTCCATACAATTTCGCTCGCTGCTCACTGTGAACGCAACAAGCTATATAACGATAAAAACACGTACAACCAGATATCTCTAATGTTCTTAGGGATATCTGTGTTCATTATCTGCGTCGGATTATTATTATTATCATTATATTTTATTCTAAAGAAGCCAAAGGTCCACAGCGAAATGCCCCCCACGGGTGCTTAATGGTCGCATGAATATACAGACAGCCAGACTGTAGAAATTATTATAATTCTGCTTAAAATATGCAAAGTTAAGTACGGCTTATAACCATTATAGTAATATTTGCTCTTTTTACCGTATTATTATATTTTAGCTAGTAATTTATTTAATACCTATATTAAATTAGAACACTAAGATGAGAAATAAATAGTTGCTATTGTCAAAGTTCTTGTAATCAAACCTATAGGATATCTCCCCGATAAACGTTACAGTTTTTGTATATTCCAGTATGATTTTTGGTAACCATAAATAAAATCGGAAAAAAGCGTTTTTTTTTTCCTTAAAATTATTTGATTTCCGGTAAAAACAACGTGCAACTATATCTATAAAAATATAACGTAAAGGTCACTTTGCAAATAATAATGCTAATATAAAATTGTATAGAGCGCTTTATACCGGTTTATGTTAAACGTAACCCGGTTAAAGACCCGGCCTAGAAGTTCACACCGAATCCCGTATGCAGAACGCCAGAAAATAAAGGGCAAGTCAATCGACCATCTACAAGAGGAAAAGGAAATTAATACGGAATCTGACACAGATAGACTAGAGAGTGTTTGTTACCAAGTCCCAATGACAGCACCAAAAAATGTCTAGCAATGTATTGCAAATCCAGTTGACCAGCTAAGCTTCTGGCGACCAGACGGCGACACATATTATGCTGCTGTAATTATTAGCTCATTTTTACAATACCTAACAGGCCGGAGGGGAAGCAACATATAAATGGATCGCAAAATCCCTTCAGTTGTTGTTTCCGTTTGAATTGGTCGAAAAATATCATTTAGACCGAGACATTGCCGAAAGAATCAGTGTGTATTGTAGTTTTTTCTTATTGTTAATAATCATCTTGTCTAATTATCTTGTTAATATTATTTATAGTATAAATAAATATATAAATTTGCTCTGTAGTTTTTAAATTGAGGAAAATATTTAAATTAAAAAAAATATGTTATTGTAAAAAAAAAATAATTGAATTAATTTTTCAACCAATCGACAAAATAATGTTAAAAGCGATAAAAAATTACTTAAAATTTTTAAAAATTTAGGAAATTAACGATTTTCTACATACTTAAATTTTATTTATTTCACAACAATCCAAAAAAATACTCTTAAAATTATTCAAAAAGTAGATTTGGAAAACATTTCAAATAAATAAATCAATAAACTCGTACCTTAACAACAATTATATATTTTTTACTACTATACAGTATCGTAATATGTTGTTGTTAACATATTTTTTATAAACAATTTACAGTAGACTAAAAAAATACATTTTTTCGGTTTTATGAGTGTAGGAACTACGAATTAACTTTTCCAACACTATTGAACCACCAATGTATCAATCGCCTAAGATTCCGGGTCGATAGAGGTGCGACTCAAGTAAACACAAAAAACACATCATTATAAAACAAATACTTTTTATGATTCGCATCAAAGGTAAAAATATTTAAATTAAACGTTCTACCTCCGATTTAGAATTTAAATATTATTTTTTCCTCATCGATTGTGAATTTGGATTTCATATTTTATTTAAAAGCTTTAATGCGACGTTTAGTCAGAGCTTTAATGTTCAAATAACTTAGTTAATATAAATGTTTTACATAATTTGAATAACAACCTAAATGTGTTTACCAGCCACTCGGTAAAGTAGACAATATTCCCAACGCGAGTACAAACTACATTATTTTACGATTAGGTAGTAAGTCATTAAAACTTCAGTATAGTACAAAGTAGTAAACAAAGCACGATAATAAAACGTTATTATCTTTAAAAGCTGTTGAACCTTTAAAAGAGAAACGTTTTATAGAGAAATGTCTTGTTGCCGGTATTTAATTTTAATAATAACATGTTGTTTATAGTTTGGGTTTTCAGTAGGACCGAAAAAGTTATAGACTTACAACGTAGTACAATAAAGCAAACTTACCGATAAATCAAAAAGATAACAATCGGCTAAATGTAAAAAAACTTTTTAACTTTTTCAACAGTTCAACAAATTATCAAGATTGCTGTTTGAATTGCTTTATTGAAATTATATTAATTAATAATTTTAAAAGAAATCATATATATATATATATATATATAAATACATAATATATAAAAAATGTTAGGTGTATATATTTTTAATAAAAAAGAAACTCTCCAAAAATAGCCCAAATTTAATTAAAACAGGCCCCGCTTATTAGACTTACAATACGTAGGTAATAGAAAATGTAATATGTATTAAATAATATTACAAAAATTAATTTTTTTTTTTTTTTTTTAAATAAAATGACACTACATGACGACCATCGACAGACTCAATGCTACTAATACAACAATCACTAGTTTGTTATATAAATTACATTTTTTTACATTGCCCATTAGTTACCGGTTTTTTTTTTCTTTGTAACATTAAAGGTTATTGTTATGTTAAAAACAACTTTATATTTATGTGTACAAAGTATTAAAAAACAGCGTTAAACATTTTACTAAAAAGTAAAAAATTATTATGGTTATCATTAGTGTAGTCGGTAGTATAACCAGCGGCGTTAAGTATACTTATAAAAATATGTTCTAGAGTGATGGCCGTTTTAATAATTCAACACTCCAGAGTTTGCGAATTCTAAACAATTTCATTTATAACAGACTATAAAAAATACATTTTTAACAGAACATTTTTCTATCAACTAACGTTGCCTTTTTAGTGTATTGTTTAATACTGGAAAAGGTCAACGGACAAAATTCGAAAATGTAATTTAATAATATAATATATTGCACTCTTTGATCGATTGTAATAATTATTACTTTATAAGAACCCTTTGTGTCCGTTACTGTAACAAATTCGTATAGTTTTAATAATATCAGTCATCGTGAACAATTATTATATCCTGTAACAATATGTAGGGTGCAAACGCTATTAATTTTGTTCGACAAAACGCGATAACTTCATTATAGTTTTTTTTTTTTTTTTAATATCACTGAGAATTTGCAGCTGACTGATTCACATGGTTTATTATATTACTTGCTTTTCACTCTACTTCTCTCTCTCTCTCTCTTTCGAATAAGCATCATCATCTATACCCATTTAGGGCGGTTTCGTGAATAATAATAGTGTGGGATGAATGTTAATGAAAATTCGCCGTTTAGCGAAGGGTGTTAATTATTTTTTAATTATAATAATATAATCTGTATTGCGGGGTAGTGATAACGAACGAGCTGACAGGTGGTCACATTTTTGTTGTAGGTACGTTGTGTTTTAATTATTATTTAAACAATAACACCCAGCAATGATTAAAATACAAAATACCAAATTCGGTTGACATAACTTAACAATAATATACTTTAGGATAGCTGTTATAGTCCCGCATCTGAGGCGTTCGTAATACAAATTGTATTAAAAACAAACAAAAAATGATAAAATTAAATTTTTATACATAACGAACAATAATATAACATATTACAATATATACTAAACATTCTGTAACGCGTTTTCCAAAAAAAAAATAAATAAATAATGTACATAAATAAATGTATAAAATATAATATTGATTTGAGTTGGGTTAGCATTAATTGACTATGTAATTTTAAGTTGCCGGAACTCGCCAATTCAACCGAAAATGTTTTTCCGTGATAACCACAGACTGCGTATACGATTCTAGTGAAGTTTCCTACATCGACATTAATAAAACATTACTACGGTACTAAAACAAAGTAAGAAATAAAAAATAATAATGATTGTGTTTGAATAATGGTAACACGTATACTGCCAGACGCAAGTTTAAACTTGTAAAGTATTACTAGGAAAAGGTAAAACAGCAACAATTCTAAAAAAAAAAAACTTATTTTATCATGTAAAAAATAACCGGCTGGTTTTAAGGAAAGGACATTGAACAAAATGAAATATATCATTATACATTTTGATAACTTATGCAATTATTTTGTAGTGTAAAAAAACAAACACTCGTTGATCAATATAACGTTGAAGTTAACAAAATGTACTATGTAAATTATTATACGCGATAAAACTTTAATATTAATTTAAATCATTTTTCTCAATGTCGCATAAAAAGCGGTACATCGACTTTTTAGCAAACGATATCGGATAAAAGTGTAATCAACTAGGTACTGTTGTAAATAAATACAAAAAAAAAATTCAGTGTTTCATATTTGGTACTTTGTAACAGGTTTTTTTTGGAAAACACACAGTATTGGTTTTTAAAAGTTTTAACACCGTTCATTACCGAGTTTGATTAGATTTGCAAAAAAAAAAAACCAACATTCTCCAAGTAGGAATTTAATTTTTTAAATTAATACCGATCTTCGTGATATACCTATAATATGAGCATTCGTCGACGGTGAGATGATCGACCGCAAAGTCAGGGCGCAGACAGACGGATTTACATGCCGTTGTATGCCGGACCGCCGCCGGGTTCGGGGACGACCCAATTGATATTTTGCGTGGGATCTTTGATGTCACAAGTCTTGCAATGGATGCAATTTTGAGCGTTTATTTGTAACCGGTCGCCGCTTCCGTCCTCGGCGGGTACGTACTCATAAACACCTGGAAGCAAAAAAAATGTTAATTAAAATCACGCCAAACATTATATCAAGTTTTGCATATAAACAAACAAACGACAGATACAGTCAGACAAATGCAACGGTATTCAAACATTGCGAAATTTAAATTGAACATTTTTAAACGGGAAAAAAAAACTGAAATTAAACATTTTCAGGCAACTAAAGAATTTCAAAAAATCGACTACCAAAAGGACGTCTGACCCGTGTAATTTCATTGGGCAGGTTTGAATAATTTAATGGTGACACGTATAACCACGTCCTCGAAGAACATAACTATTCAAATGTTTTGACTTTAATACGAATACAATTTAAATCCGCGCTTGTTACACTATTTTGGATTTTGGATTTTGTCAAGACGAAATATGTAGTGTATACTTAAGCTGTACAGTGTACACGCATAAACCGTACACGGACTTCATAATGACACTTGAATAATAAATTATATCAAAAGCACTTTTTTTTTCTCCTTACGGTTATTATTGATGTCATTTCATATAATTATACTTTTTCGTTTTACATTTTCTTTTGATTAAAACATTTCCATGGCAATTGCGGCGGATGAGTTGTGTAAAACATAAAACATGCGTACCGACTGCTGAGTATGATACTTCGCGTAAAAATATAATTACTGCAAAATTACTACTATAATTGGTGGAAATAATAAAAACATGTCATTAAGCGACAAACGCTTTAACAGTACTGCTACTGCCGATCGTTTAAGACGCATAAAAAATAAGAATTTATCTTGGGTGAATGTTTTTAAATTTAATACAAAATTAGATTTGTTTTTTGTGCCGTTGACACTAAAATATAAGCTTCAAACACTAATATAACTAACACTAATATATGGCTTCAAAGTAAATTATTGTAAAGTCTTCACAAACAATAGAATTGCAAACTTTAGGAAACAATCGTCGACAAAGAGACTAAGAGGCCGTCGTACTACTCTGAGCTACTTAGAATATTAGATATGTTTGTTAGTTGTTACTTTGCAGTTAACTTTGACAGAACTATGTTTGTCCGTCATAACTTTCTTGATATGGTAGTATGACACCGAACGTCTGATGTAAATTATTAATTGACACATTACAGCGAAATACATTTAACGAATATAATTTCTTGGCCATGTATATATATATATATATAAATGTAAACAACACAAGGAGCCGCATTACTCATTTGCCAAACTCATAACAGTATAGTACCCGTAAATTAGTGCTTACCAACAAGTGGTATTCTTAATCGAGATAATGGTGCTGCAAGTGAATTCGGGCGTGAGAATAGCCTATAACTTGTTTTTGAACAACGTTCTATCCCTTGATCGTTATTTATGATGCCAAACAAGTGTAGAAACTTAATTAATGGGCTCTTATCTAAAGTTTATTGATAAAAATAAAACTGACGCTTAAAAAGATATTAAAATGATTTTTAATATTATTATTTTCCATTTACAACAACAAAAAGCTCGTGTAAAATAACTAAATTGTGAAGTATCGAAGGTTCTTTAATCTATTATTACAACACATAAAACATAAGCTGTAGAGCTACCGTCATTTGGAAATCATACAAAAATGGCTTGCATCAGACCTCGAAAATAAATTATGAACTTATTTTACATGACGTGCATTCAAAGCTCTTTATTGCAGACGAACTTTTCAACGTTATTTATTTATTCATTTACAATGTCAAAAAATAAATACAGCTCAATAATCTATCTTTTATTCTTACGATGTACAACACGAGACACATTTTTTTATTTCTTATAAAAGCGTTATGCTTACTTCTCTAGCATTTCTCATTTATACATTATACTGTGTGCAGTGTGTGTTTAAATTATTTTTCTTAATGCAATTTTTTCATCTCACTGCATGATATTGTCACCTAATTAAAAGAAAAGAGAAAATTGCCATACCAATAAAGACAAATTTTTAAATATTTATTTTTTTAGTAACATAGAATATTCTTTGTTGTGGCTAAATGGCTGCTTTGTTTTTAAAATTAAGTGATAAGCGTGTTCATTTTTTATAGTATTAATAACACAAAATAATTAACTGTCTAAAATTATGTAAGACTCATGAGTTAAAAAGTAATTTAACCTTAAATAAATTGATGTGTTTAAAATGCTTGCTAGATTTTCAAATATTGCCTACAGTTTGTACTTAAATAAATAACATTTTATTTCCCATAAATTAGTTGAATTAGGTTTTTTCGTTCATGTATCAAATCATAACGTTCATTAAGTAGTAATTAACATTAAGTAGTCGGTTCAGGGCTAAACCATTGCGAATAAAAACCGACAATGTATTTGAATCAAAGGCTACAAATTAAAAACAAATGTTTTTGCATTGATAAAAATAATTTCTTGTAAATTCATTTAAATTTTGACCAACACTCGACGCAATATTGTCATAATAATATTTCTAGCAAGTGGCGTGGTGATTTACATTTGTAACGTGTAGCAAGTACTAAGCACACTTGGAATGGTTAATTTCTTCAGCACTTCGGTCTACTGCAAATACTCTAATAAATTTTTTTTTTTAATTTCCACTTTAAAAATAGGTAGGTAAAACAAATTTATCATTTGCATATAAATTGCTTAGAACGTTTAACGGCAGCAGTGATTTTTTTTTTAATTTCTCGTTATGCATTCATAAGAAACTCGGACGATTACTATTAATGATAACAGTAAAAAAAGAAAACTGTCAAGGGATTGATATTTACAAGCGTTTTATTCGTTTTGTTTAACCCCATTGTAGCACATCAGAATAATAATAATAAAATAATTGTTGTTGCTTCATTGCATTTTGCCAGGGGAATATATAAAGTTCCAAAAGATTCTCTCACGGTGCCTACCTACTATATTAAGATACACACCCCTCTCAAAAGGTTCATCACTTTACACGAACAATGACGGGTATGATAGTATACATTATTTTAATAGCATTTTGGTATGCACCTACGGATTTTTAATTTCATACAACTCAGATGCGACACCGCATAACGTGTATAATTTTTAAAACGTCCCTATGCAAAGGATACATCATAAATGTGAGTGACAAACGTGGAAAAAATATTTTAGATTTTGGTCCAGAGGGTCAGCGAGTACATTATTTATGCAATTATAAGAGCAATTGTTCTATTCTAACGGGCGTGTAATAAGTTTTTTTTTCTTCAAACCATAACAAAACGGCAGACGACGTCAAACCGAACGGGTGTATTTACAAGGCGTCAGCGGCAGATCTATCATCGTTTGAACCGTATTTTCTTATGTACGGTCGCATTAAGCACAATATAATAATCATCATCATAGTAATAGTTTGCCGGCGAGTTCGGGTTTCTGGTTACTATATTACACGCGTGTACTTGGAATAATCATAATGACGTTATTGTGATATTGTTATAAAGTGTGCAACAAAAGAGTGCGACCGATGATTGGCGGGTTAGTGATTATTACAACGCTCGAGAGAATGTATAACGAATTCTGCGCATAATACATGCAATGAATGTGTGTTTTAAACGACCGCTACCTCGTCCGTAATTAAATATTATACAATCGAATAACAACAACAAAATAATAACCCCTTTGATAAATTCAACGCTACACGAGGTCCTACATTATGTAACAGTAGTCGACGTGCCCGGTCAGACAATTTTCACTAGTACTACTTATAGTCACTCCTCTCTCTCTCTATTTCTCTCAGGGGGACGACATTCATAAAGCGCACACATGTTATACTATACGACGATGATGGCGATCGACAATGCTCGTTCTAGCTCAGTACAAACCCCCGTGGACGTCGACTATATGACATTATATACAGGGTGGGTCTGGTTTGAATGTCGCGCCAGTTATATGGGAGTCTTACTCCCGTGGTAAACGTAGCAAATAGCAAATTGTTTTTGGGGGGGTTAGCGTGAAAAATCGATTAGATTAAGTTAACAAAATGTGTACAATTTAAATACATATTTGTAGGGGGCTCAAGTTAATTCTGGAAAGTATAAACAATGTTTTATATACCTACCACTTACACTTAAAAACTTGTGATTTTACGTTGTTCTTTCATTTTAATGGTGCTACATAGAATATTAGAATGACAAGAATACACGACGGCGATATGTTTGTCAGAGTCGAGAGGCTCTGAGTTCATTCATTTCATACACACTCAATTATTAGCTAAAACGGTCTAGTGTCAATGGAAATGAAAAACGTGCTTCGAGTGACACACACGTTTTTGCATCAAAATTTCCAACAAAATGTTTGTAAATAGTGTATTTTAATTGACGACACTACTATTTACCGAGTTGAAACCTTAATATTGTTGAGCGAAAAAATAAATTAAATTAAAAAATGTATTGGAACTGGATGGACTAAATAGTAACTAGTAAGCGCAATAACCCACGGGTTTCACAAAGTGTGTGTGGTATTCAACTCAGACACACCCTGTACGCGTATTTTGTTTTTAGCACATCTGCCCAACTTGAATGTGAACCCCTCCGAGACTAAATTATAATTTTTTACGTTTTACCAAACCGTGCGGCGCGCGTTTAAAAACTCACATACCGGTTGACTGCACCACACACGCGCATAAGGCGAAATTGTGTATTTTGGCCAAATAAAACGCCACTCGTGCATCGTCTAAACGTATCGAGAAAAAAATGCCACTTCGGCAATCTGTCAAACCTATTACTTTTATTGCTGAATAAAAATACATGTACCCGTGTTCCACAAGTACTGGGCCGCGATAGGCGAATTCGCAAAAAGTATACAGGCGCGACAGCAGCTGTGCAATGATAATAATAATACACATGACGTTCTACGGTGCGTGACTGACAAACGCTCGACGTGGTAAGTCGACACTTAAACGTGCACACACAAGGTGTACATATTGTACAATATATTAGGTATATACATAAATAGAGGTAAACGAATAGAAAATATAATAGATTCACGGTTCAAAGTGATCGAGTCACGAATTTCCAAAAACAACAACAACCCCTTAAATCGGACGCGCGTGTCGATTCAAACAAACATATTATTATAATAAACGTACCCCGCGCACAATCCTAATTAGTTACTTTGGACAAACCCTATCTAATCTGCAATCGGTAACTGTTTTGCGGTTAACATGCTGGTTAAATAATATGTCAAGCTATACAAATCGCATTATAACTTAGTGCGTATACTCATTTCCGAGAGTAGGTGCATTGCACAAATTATAGTTTCAGAGAAATATCTATACAGCCGGTGTCGCCGGTGAGCACAGCTGCCAGCTCTAATACTGCTATATCCCTGCTAGACCCTTAGTTATTAATAGCGAAATTTCCAGCTAACACATGTGTATATGAGTACACAAATAATTCTCATCATATATTTTATATACATATAATCAACCGGCAAATACGTCTAGTCGGCAAATGATACACGACTGTAATGTTTTAGCTTCGATGCGGAGCTGAGAAGGTATTGTTTTTACAATGATGTGTTTTTATTTTTGTGTCTGGACCCACGATATCTCGTAAACCGCTGAACCGATTTCTTCGTGTAACAACTCTATAGATCAGAAATCATACCTGGAAGGTACTGTATCAGGCCAAACATTAAAAAAGTCACCCCTTCCCCATCAAAATCGAGAAAAACACCCAAAAAATTTACAATTCCGCTTCGACGCGCAAAGATGATGAATTGATTTTAAATAATCCTTTTTTCGATTAGTACATCAATCGATCACAAATTATATCTAGTTGGTACCGTTTAGAATCAAAAGTTTATAAATTCACTACTTCCCTCAAAAATAGGGTAAAATCTAACTTGGTTTTTTTAACATTAATATAATATATTAACAATATGAATTTAAAAAAAAATCGTTAACAGAGTACATCGATAGACGTGATCAATATAATATTGTGTTATCTCATATCTCGTATATTAATAATTGAGAAAAAATAATGAATAACTAATATTGTATTGACTACGACAACAGATACAATTATTAATGATTTTCTTGTTTTACCCAATTCTCACTATAAACTATTAATAGTGTGTACCTTAAACAACAAAACTAAAAAGGAGGAACCAATATTGCTGAAAGAACACTCAATAAACCCTTATATAATAGCCATAGTCGTTTTTCAGTATGATAATAATTTAGATGACAAATGACGGGTTTTATAAAAAAAAAAATTTCGCTAAATTTGCATCACTAAACCTGTCACTAGTTATTATTTTCGAAGACAATTTATTACACCACATTGAAATAAGAATAATGCATTGTTAATTTATGCCATTTAATTTACTGCCAAACCACTACAAAGAGTTCTACTCTGTGAAACAGGAAACTACTGATTCTTAATTTAACAATTATTGCGTCTAGTAAAATTTAAAAAAAGGTATTCTCTTTTTAAGTCTGAAACAATAAGTTATTTTTTTTATTGGAACAAGCAAACATATTAATTTCAGGTTACACAAAGAATGAATAAATTTAATAAACCACTTACGGGCCACTAAATTATGTTTAAGGAACTACTAAACGTCTAACCATATTTCTAGTAAAAACCAAAACAAACACCCATACGACATCTATTGGTCCAGTTATAAAGTACCTATGTGCCCAACTAAACAGAACAGATTCAATAAATTGCGTAAATAACTTTGCATTCTTGTGGGATTCTATACCTATAACAATAAAACTAAAAAAGCTTTTGACAATAAAATGATAAAAGTATTGCAGTCAAAATACATTTTATTCTTATAATTTTATTCTAAAATAAATAGTGGACATTCCTGACAATTTATAAGTAGGTAAATGAGCTGAGAACTAAATTGAAGACCATGCATACCAACACTTGTCACCATACCCCTGCCTGTTATCCTATGCCTGGCATCAGGATTTGAATTTAATAACTGGATTGTTATTGTAAAACAAAATAATAGTAATAACCTAGTAATTTGAACTGAAAATAATAAAATTATACAGTTATATCCACTTACCAGCAGGACAGAATCTTCCTTCTGGACCATCATATAGTTCAAGATTTGTATTCACAGGTACAGAATCGTTTAGAAGTGTTAAATGAGCTGGCTGATCACCTTCATGATTTGTACCCGTTAATGCAACGGAAGACAATAGATCAAAACTTATTTTGCCATCAGGCTTTGGGTATTCAATTACAGAAACTTCAGTCTTTTTCTTCAATTTTGCATGATCCGGTGCTAATATACAATAAGGTTCAATTTAATATCATTAATACGTTTTAAACTTAAAACTGGAATTTAAAATAGAACTAACCTCCATGACTAAGTGTCCATGGTTCACTTCCTTTAATTGCTAAAGAAAATCCAGAATACGCTATTCCACCAAATAAACCTAGATTTGTATGGAATGACGGACGGATATTTCGTACGCTTTTAAGATCTGACCATATCCAGCTACTTTTTACTCTTTCTTCATAGTCTTTTGGTTCCAGACCTATAATCAAAACAATCTACACTGAAGAATTTTATACTAAGAAATTGTAACACTGTATAATTCTCTTCACACTGTGTGCCCATTACTGTAAGGTTATGTTCATAAAATTTAGATAATATTTTATAATATACAAATAATTAAAATTAAGAGTTTACCAGTGGTTTCTGTAGATTCTCCTGAATTTACAATGGTGTCATAAGTCGATTCAGCAGCTAGCATGCCTGATTTCATGGCATAATGAGTTCCTTTGATTTTGGCAACATTTAAAAATCCTGCGGTACAACCAATCAAGGCACCACCAGGAAATGAAAGTTTTGGAATAGATTGGAAACCGCCTTCATTTAAAGCTCTAGCACCGTACGCTATTCTAAAAGTTTAAAGTAAATTCATAAAAGCAAAGAAAATTTTTCACAGATATTACATTAAATTTAGTATAATTCATAAACACATATTTACCGTTTACCATCTTCAAACAATGGTTGTACATGTGGATGGTGTTTAAAACGTTGAAACTCTCTAAAAGGGCTCAAGTATGGGTTAGAGTAATCCAATCCCACTACAAAACCGACTGCTATTAAAGGAGTGGATTCGTTCAGGTGATAAATAAAGGAGCCACCGTACGTATTCCTATTCTGTAACATTACCACTTTATAATTAAATTTAAAAAATTATCAAAAACTATTAATACAATTTTAATTTCACACAATAAATGGAAATGTATTGTTTTTGTTGCTCTTTAAAAAAAACTTAAGCTTATATTTTAAAGTACATTCCTTGATAAGTCAATAAATATTAATACCTATAAAAAAAAACACGACACTTCTTAGAATAACAATAAGGTAATAGCCAACAAACTGTCCACTATGTCATTCACTGCTATGCTAACAATAAAAACAAATATAAAAAACCAACAAAGGCTTATACATTTTGTATTTCAATTATAGTTTTTTTTATTCAGTATTCGTTTAAAATGGTTACCGAAAAATCACCAGTGTTTTTCTTAAGTAGTGTGTTGGGTTTATTTCCAAGTAAGCAACATAAAAAATTATCAAGATCTGTGGGTATTGTATTCATTATTTTAATAGTGATTTATTATTGTGAAGAATTAAAATGGATCATCTCAAAAAGTGACGAATCTAACACTAGCAGACTACTGTATGTTTCATACGTAACGTTAAATATACTTTTAATTGTAGTATGCTATATAAATTCAATAATACATTACAAACTATGTTCAAGTTTTACAAACAATATTGCTTTTGTTGATCATTTATCCAAAAACTTAGAGCTGAGTTTTAATTACAATGTTAGCAATTCAAACGAATACAAGAAAATTTTATACATATTTTTATTCACGGTCAGCTTCGCAATACTTCATCAATTGGGATTAACTGAACATAATTTCCCATCGGTAAATATAATCGAAATCGCTTGCATACCTATGATTTGGTTACAAGTATATCAAATAGATATCCTATTGAATCAACTAGCAATGCGATTTAATTACATAAAATGTATACTAGAAACAAATATAAAAAAATCTATAGAGGCGTATTGGATTCACTGGTGTTCGATTGGACCTAAGGATATTACTACACTTAATCGTATACATTTTTTTACGTACATTTCATTCAAAGAAGTCTGTTCATTTTACGATATTCAACTGCTTGTAATAATACCACGAGTGATCGTATCCAACGTTTTGCCAGTTCATTATAATGTAGTTGCAGCCCTGATGTCTGATAAGGATGAAACGCCACACAAGTGGTCTCAGATTTTTACATTGTCTATGATTGTTTTATCAATTGGGCCTATCATTCATTTGGTAAGGTGTGCCAGCAATACAATCAACAAAGTAAGACGAATAAACCAAGTTTAAAAAAATAACAAATCATTTATATTAAGTAAAACATAAAAATTCTGTTGGTTTTTTTTTAGGCCACACAAATAATAGACACTATTCATAAGTTGTTAGACCTTGAGCTACCACAAGAATTAGAGGATGAAGTAAATAAAATTTAAAAAATCGATATACCTAGTATACAAATTATAACTCATAAGTCATAATTAATATTTTATTATTTATAAGTGTTTATTTGTTTTAGCTGTACTTGTTTTCACAACAGTTACTGCATCGACCACTAAAATTTACTGTAAAAGAAAGTTTTACTATCAAACCATCGCTAGTAGCTTCAGTAAATACTTGATAATCATTTAAACAATACATTAAGGAATAACATAGCTTATGTTACTGTTGTTTTAGATGTTGGAGTTGATAATCACCTACGTTATAATACTCTTACAATTTCAAGACTCGTTAAAAACAATTTCTCCGGCACAGTTTTTAGTTAGCCCAAAAAATTAAATACTCACTAATGGCCAACCGACAGTATGTTCTACTCTCCCTGGACTATGGTTTTCAGGTTTCACCTCCCAAATTTCCTTAATGCCTAATCCATAAGATTGAGGAGAACAATTTTCACGTAGATTAAATTTTTTAAATAATTGTTTAGTCAAATGCCCATGACATCCTTCAGCGAATATAGTCACTTTGGCGTGCAGTTCCATACCACGTTCAAAGCTGTCCTATACAAATACAACAGGCCATATTTAATAATATGTATATTGTTTTAAATAATTGTTGAGAAATAAATGTGTTATTTACTTTTGGAGATCCATCTTTAGCAATTCCAACATCACCTGTGGCTACTCCTTTAACTGAGCCGTCAGCGTGGTACAGTATTTCGGCTGCTGGATATCCTGCATAAACCTCAACTCCTAATGATTCAGCTTGATCGCCGAGCCATTTTACTAAATGCCCTAACCTAACTACATAATTTCCATGATTGTCCATAGGCATACCTTTTGAAAACAAACAAAATTTGTTTTTAATTTTTAGATACGTAAGTATTTACAGAGTGTACTTAATAAACCATAAACCATTAAAATTGTTTAATTAGTAGTCAATAAATTGGTTTATTATACAAATTATACTACATACATCATTACCTGGTATAATTGGTATTGGTATACGGCTACTTTTAGTAAGATAGCCAAATTTATCTTCTTTGACAGGAGTGTTCAACGGTGCTCCTAAATCGTTTAAATTTGGGAACAATTCATTTAGAGCCACTGGATCAACGACCGCTCCAGATAAAATGTGGCCACCTGAAATTATATACATACAATAAATAACTTACTAAATTGAACCCGATCAACAGTTGCCCAATTTCAGGGGGAACAACGTAAGTTTTTAATTCGACTCATTAAATTGAATTCTTAATTAATAAATTAAATAGATACAAATTAACATTATTTTGACACTTACAAAAAACTATATTATGTTTTCGTTGATATATTAAAGCATGCGGTTTTTAGTATGGACCGTAGTTTAAACAGTGCTCACCTCAGTTTTAATAATTTGGAGTAAGTAATCAATAAAATTTATTGTATCATTTTTTTTGTATTAATATAAAAAAATTTAACTTGAATCCTGTGAATCTAATTTTTAAATTGAAAAAAATATAAGGGATCAGAAATGTCTATTTTTAAGTAAAACCCATTTAACCCTTCAAAAAAATTATTTTTGAGATTGTTGCCCTAGGGCAACATGGCACATTGAAGGGTGAATACAAGTTTTATTTATTTTTAAACTTACTACATAAACCACTACTCAATAGCTCATATAATACTAGTCAAATAAGTATGAAAAACGTTGGTTAAAATTCTAGACTACAATACAATTTTTTAAATGTTAAATTCAAAAGATACATTTGACCAAATTAATCAGATTATGCAATAACTAATAAAATATATTTTTAAAAAAAATTATTTAAATTATACCTTTTTTATTCTAAAACTTGTGAGTCCTAATCGCTACTTGCATTTATATGTAGTATTTAATTAATAAAGTTTAATCCTTACCGACTTCTGGAGATTTTTCAACTACACATACTCTGAGTTCTTTATTATTTTCAGCTGCAAGTTGTTTTAACCTAATAGCAGCAGACATGCCAGCTGGTCCACCACCAACAATTACTACATCAGCGACATCTTCATATCGTTCCATTGATATATCTATATAAAAAAAGGAAAACAATATCTTAAACATTGTATTTCAAATTTAACATGATAACTGTTCATACCTTTCCATCTCTCATCAGATTCTCTTGGATGAATAGTGTAATGAGTGGTTATTTTTTGTACATTAGAAGAGTATAGTCGCAAAAATGACGATCCTGCTTTACGCACTACAATAAGTAATTTATACAAATATTAAATAACCTATGATGTAAAAACAGATAGATATTTTAAAATATTATTGATAGCTTTGTTTAAAATAACTTGCTATTAAAAAAACTCATATTTTACCTCTCAACCTTAATAAAAATCGTGATCAAGTCAGATTTCTAAAATTGATTAATTTGGTTAACACATGGTAAAATATCTACTAAAGTTTAATTTAATACATTTTCATTGTAGTATAATAGGTACCTAAATATATTTATTCAGTGGCGTACCCAGGATTTTTCAGTAGGGGGGGGGGGGCTACAGTAACAAATAAGTTGTCATTAAAAAAACTGATAGGAATTGTAGTATAATATAATATTATTATGATTGTATAATTTCATCAAAACCATTGTTATATGATATTCCTATATGTTTGTTAAAAATATAATGGATTAGCGTTGTTATAGTATAAGGAACACGTTTTTGTAAAATAATAGTAAATTTATATGTTTTACGGCTCTTACCTAGAAAATTGATAAGTACACGGTACACAGGACCATTGTATTACAAATCCAGCTTAATAGTTTATAATTTATTTATACTATAACACAGCCAATGGGGAGGGGGGCTGAAGCCCCCTTAGCCAGCCCCTAGGTTCTGGTTATACGCCACTGTAACTGTTTATATTAATCATTAAACATTTTATACTTTAGGACATTCTGCATTAAACATTTATAATAATAGTAATTGTGTATTTTGCAATTAAACAATTAATTTTATTCAATGAGTGAAAATTTTTTACTTTTATCAATTTTACTTCATAATTAAAAAAACCAAAAACAATAAACTTTGGGTAAATTTTTAAAATAGGTGTTAATAAACATTACATGTTGTGTAATTAACACTAGCAGAACAAAGTATAAAATAATTAAGAATAGTAATGTCCTTGTTGTTGCTCAATCACATGAATTAATAATTATAATAAGATTACCTAATTTTAAAACAATACTGAAAGTATAATACTTACACAACAAATTAGATGTAGTTGCCATCATTTTGGTAAACAATAATTATATAATAAAAGGTTTATACAAATCATACAAAAAACAACTTAAATATGAATGGGAGAAAACGATCTTTGAGCACTTCCGCATTAAGTAATGACTAATGAGACTAACGTTTGAATTTACGAGATAACAATAAGCTGTTGGACGAGACGACTCGAAAGACATTGGCCTCGTTCTAAATGTTTTTTTTATATTTAGTTCCTATTTACCCATAATTTTATCAACGTTATCAGACGTTATCATCGTTGATCTAACGTTGTTATCATCAATTCGTACTAGTGAGGGAGGGATCAATTTAACTAAAATCTTTTTTCGATTTCTAACAATACAACAATGCATATTTAATTATTAAAAACCATTTTTTTTAATATTTAATGTATCATGCTATCTCTAATGATAATTTATTAAATTAAAAACAAAGAATTCGTAACTAATGCACTATTATTTAGTTAAAACCAAAAATCTGATTGATTACCATGGAGGTAAACTTTTGTTTGATAACCCCAAAATTAATTTCGACGTTTTATCGTTTCTTACATTGTATTGAACCGCTTCATCAGGAATATGCCACCAGTGTATTTCAATTCCATTGATTATTTTGGACGTAACTCTTTAAAGTTTAGATTAGTCAAATAGAATTATTGCTTTCATATATTTTAAAGATCATGGCAAATTACCATTGTAATTATATTTCTACAAATTTGTATAATATGCAAAGTGATCTTGAATACTACCTTTAATTTAAAAGTAACATTGTCGTCTATTATTTTATCTAAAATATTTTTAGTTCAATATAAGTTAAGAGTTTACCTGTACATTACCTGTTGACAATGGACCACTGTAAAGATTTTATAAAAGCCGAATTTCCCTGTATCGATATAGAGATGTTTCAATATATTGAAGGTAAGAATTACATAATAATATACTGCCATACCTAATCTTGCAATTTTAACGGTCATCAATATTCAGGCGTTTTGGAAAATGGTATTGACGATTTTCACGACACTGAAGATATTTATGAAGCTATTGGGGAAGTATTACAGGAAATAGCTAATAAATCTGAATCTGATATCCGGTACTACATTTACTTAGAAATGAAATAAATGTGTATTTAATTATATTCTATAATATTTTAAATATTAATGATTTTAGAGGGATTTGCTCAAAGTTACTGCATCTTATACATCCTCATTCCAATAGTAATGCATCTAAAAATGGGCATACTAAAATATTAGATGCTCCTGTACATTTAGCATCAATGGCAGCCGATCTTGAAGATAACGATATGGAAATTAAAAGCATATGGGTTAATTCAAGAGATGATAGTCTAGTAAGTCTAAGCACACTTTATTATTATTACTTAGGTTGTAATAATAGGTAGTTGTAACATGTACATAAACAATAAAAAGGTGATGTGTGATGCTAAGACTTGAGTTGCTTATCACGCAGTGTAGCGGATGAGAAAATTACTAGTATTTCATAAAGTTCAATTACTATAATATATATTCTATTTACAAGCAACTGATAAGGGGGGAACTGTTTCTCACTTGTTTTACTCTCTCTATTAAATAACGTATAATTATAATTACTTAAAAACTGACTTTATAAAAATGTTTAAAAGAAATAAAACTATTGAGTAACAAGTCTATGTTTTAATTATAATAATTTTATGTTTGGTAGCACTATAAATGAATGAATGTTTTATTTTTGTGTTCCAGAAAGTAGATAAAAAGAAATTAAAAAAAGCTCAAGAAAAGCTTCAACAAAAACATGACAAACGGACTGAGCAAGTTGTTAAAGGTGTGGGATCAATAAGTGTAGCTAGTAGTAACAAAATGGACGGCGCAACTGCTTCTCAAGTTACAAGTAAAAAAGAAGCAAAATTGGAAGCGAAAGGAAACAATCGTGCCCAAGATATAAAAATAGAAAATTTTGATGTTGCCTACGGGGATAGGTATATATATACTAATTATCACTTAAGATTTTTTGTTTTTTGTTTAACACATTTAAAAAGAAATTTTGTTTTTCCAAAAATCTGAACTTTTTTACTGGGGGTATTAAATTATGTATGATTACGTTTTAAGCAAAAAAAAAATTCTATTATCACAATCTTTAAACAATATATATATTTTTTTTTTTTTTAGAATTTTACTTCAAAATACTGATGTAACATTGGCCTATGGAAGAAGATATGGTTTGGTTGGAAGAAATGGACTCGGCAAAACAACATTATTAAGAATGATTTCTTGGTAAGATATTATACTTTACAGTGTGCTGTAACAAATTATAATTTATAATCATACCGATTGAGTAGCAAGTATGTGGTCACCCTATTGTTTGAGTAATCTCATAAGTGACATTAAATATGGTGTCTAACCTGATACGAGATGTATTGTGTTTGATTTTCACACATTGCATAATAATTTATAAGCATAATATTTTTTAATTAATACCTATTTATTTTTAGTCATCAATAATATACATGCTCTCAAATTAATTATTTTTACAATCAATTATTGCTTTAATTCTTGTGCTTATACCTTATAAATAATTTTTGCTGTGTACAATTGTGCCCTTTAATTACAGAAAGCACCTATCTTATCAATGCTATAATAAATACTTTTTAATTTAAAGTGGTCAGTTGCGAATTCCGTCACATATATCTATATTGCATGTAGAACAAGAAGTTATTGGTGATGATACCCCTGCTTTAGAATCGGTATTGCAGTGTGATTTTGTGCGACATGGTTTATTGACCAGAGAAAAAGAAATAAATTTGTTAATTGCTAACGGGTAAAGTTAATGAAAAAAAAGTATATATAAATGTTTGTTTATTGTTAATATATAATTTTGATTGATCAACTAGTTCAGCGGCTAGTGCCGACTTAAGTTCAGAACTGAGCGAGATATATATGCAATTGAGTGCCATAGAGGCTGATAAAGCCCCCGCTCGAGCAAGTGTAATACTTGATGGTCTAGGTTTTAACCCAGAAATGCAAAAAAAAGCCACTAAACATTTCTCCGGTGGATGGCGTATGCGATTAGCACTTGCAAGAGCACTCTTCTCTAAGTAAGTGTAATATTTTCTAATAATTGGTTTTTATTTTAAAGCTTAGTGTTTTCTAGTTTTAAACTATATGTTGTATCCCCAATTTAGGCCAGATTTGCTACTACTCGACGAGCCTACTAACATGTTGGATATGAAAGCCATAATATGGCTGGAAAATTATTTGCAAAATTGGCAGAGTACATTGTTGGTAGTGTCTCACGACCGTCATTTTTTGGATACTGTGCCAACTGATATTCTACATCTTCATACACAAGTAAAACTAAACGGTGTTTAACCAATGTCTGCTCAGTTGGTTTCCATTAATGTGTTTATTAAAGATAAATAATAATTTGAGAAACTAACTGTGCATTATAAAATGATTTATGACACTTCTTTTGAGTCACATTTTGATATAATTTTTAGCGTATTGACACGTATCGAGGTAACTACGAAGTTTTCGAAAAAACCAAAAATGAAAAACTCAAAAATCAGCAACGTGAAATTGAAGCTCAAAATGCTCACCGATCGCATGTACAAGAATTTATTGATAAGTTTAGATATAATGCTAATCGCGCTTCAAGTGTGCAGAGTAAAATTAAAATGCTTGAAAAACTGTAAGATTTTAAAGATATTTTATAAGGAATATTTTACACCACGTACATATATATTGTATTCCAGGCCAGAATTAAAAGCAATTGAAAAGGAAGTAGAAGTAGTTTTACGTTTTCCTGAAACTGAAGGACTATCACCACCGATTTTACAGCTTAATGAAATTTCATTTGCTTATCCTGGTTGTAATAACAATATTTTGACTAATGTCAATCTAGGTGCTACATTAGAATCCAGAATATGTATTGTAAGTAACTAAATTCAAAATATGATAAAAAGATAACAATTAAAAAGTAAATCCCATTGTAAAACCAATTGACCGTCTCAACTTTGCATAAATAATTTTGTTGACAAATAAAATAATGTGTAAAAAAAACCAGTCTAGTAAAAGTTAAAATGTATTTTGTTTGGCCGAGAGTAGGATAATTATGTTTAGTTGTAAACTACTGATTGAATTTTACATGGCTGGATTTTTTTTTCAAATTAATGCTAGGCCTGCCCAAGGCATCGACAATATAGGTATTATCCTTTAGGGTAACATTTTACAGTGACGGCAATTACATTTTATATTTGAAAAAGTGGCAAAATTGGAGTAGTTTTTCTAGGTTGAAATATTTTCCTGTCCCGACCTTGAATAGTTATATTTATTGGCAAAAGTATTTAATGATGTCGCAATAAAAGTGTTAAGAAGAAATAACCCTAACATTCTATTTTATTTTTTGAAGATCAGGAATATGATGTTAGAAAGTAAATTAAATTTGTATAAGTAATTGCATTTTATTATATAAAAATTATAAATTCAAAATTCAAGTACAGAGGAGACCACCCGATTGTGCAAAAAACTTTTTATTTAATACAAAATGTGTTTTAAATTTTCGTTTAATATATTTCTATAATTTATAAATAAATTGTCTATTATTTTAGTGTACTAATTAATAATAAAAACTAATTTTAAATGTGTATAAGCGTGATATCCAAGTACTTAAAAAATGCGATTTTTATTCAACTATCCAGAGAGCATGCCAAAATTTCTGGGAGACCTTAATTTCATTGTAATTGTTGTGCACATTATCTAAACGAACTATATATGTTATATTAGGTTGGTGACAATGGAGCTGGTAAGACAACACTATTGAAGATTATAATGGGAATACTAAATCCAACTTTGGGCGTCAGAAATGTACATAGAAATTTGAAGTTTGGTTATTTCAGTCAGCACCACGTTGATCAACTTGAAATGAATCAGTGTTCGGTGGAGCTATTACAGTCGTCATTTCCAGGTATTAAAAGCAGTTCTGTAGAATATTTAGGGTAAATCCAAAGATTGACTAATGTTAACTGTAGCTGTGCGTTTTGGCTAACATATTTAATGTATTGTAACAATTACAACAAATCAGAGTTCATCCATCAGATTAAAAAACTAGCCTCAGTATTTAATTTGACAAATAGCCTTTTAATATTAACCAGGGCAGTGGTGGTACATTTATCAAAGCTTTATTGTTTATATACTTATTCATTAGTTTTGTCCACTTAGTGTTATGTGTGTTTTATATTAACTGTAAACATATGAATTTTAAAGTAAATTAATGTATTACTTGGTTTTTTTGGATTTACCTGCCAAAAAAATAAAGTGTGATTGCAGTTTTTAAATCGTATAGTAATATAAGAAATTTATAGTTGTAAAATGTTATTTTATTATTCACCGACGTTGTTTTTATATAGCTATCGTTAAGTTTGTTCAAATTCTCTTTTCACGGATAGTGTCCGAAATGGGCTAAATATTAGCCAAACTCATATTATGCTTGTAACGTATGTGTATATATTTGATAAATCAATATAATTATTTCTTTGTAGGTAAAACGGTAGAAGAATACAGACGTCAATTGGGCGGTTTTGGAGTTACTGGAGATTTAGCGTTACAAAGTGTCGGCAGTCTTTCTGGAGGCCAAAAGTCTAGAGTTGCGTTTGCAAGAATGTGTATGTCCAATCCCAATTTCCTTGTCCTTGATGAACCTACTAATCATTTAGACATTGAAACAATCGAAGCTTTAGGCAAAGCTATACAAAAATATACAGTAAGTGTTATTTATGTGTTAACATTCCATTAAACCATCAAAAGCGTAAATAAAGTTACATACATAAATTTATAATACATATATTATAAAAATGTATTTAGTGATTAAATAACAATGAAACTTAACTTTACAGGGAGGGCTAATTCTCGTATCTCACGACGAACGTTTAATTCGAATGGTATGCAAAGAGCTATGGGTTTGCGGAGGCGGCGGTGTCAAAAGTATTGAAGGTGGCTTCAATGAGTACAGAGCCATTGTCGAACGAGAACTTGCCGAAGCATCTAAATAGATGCTCAAATTGTGTACACAACGTTTATTTGAAATATGTAAACAATTTACTTGTTTTGTATTACTGTTTTTTTTAAATTGATGTATTTAATCACAATTGTGTGTGTGTGTGTGAGTGTATAAGTATTATGCTAAATTCTATTTAAAAATTACTCGTATACTACATCAACAAAAAATAAGCAATGCCCGTTAGAGTTGTACTTGTTATCTATCAGTCATGTTTTTTACATATTATATTAATAAACGAAAATATACCGACACGCCTACTTAATTTTTAAATCTACATAAGCTATTTCAGTTTCGTATAGACTCTACGTATGTTTATATTACATGTATATTTTTAAATATCTACTTATTATTATTCCGTATATTTTAATATCGAATATAAACTATTATTTAAAGATGATCGCGCTGATCTGTTTTTATAAGCTTGAGTAGTTTGTTTATAATTAGTAGTTAGTTTATCTTTAAGTAGTTTTAATTAAAACACTTTTTTTCATTAATCAGTGAAATTTTAACAATCTATTTTAACGTTTGAATATTTTTTTCTGCTCTGCAACATGAAACAAACCTGTTTCTGTAGTCACAAAATACGAAGGAAAACAAATCTTAAATTTTTTTTTTTTGCTTTAATACTTAATGCTACTATTACATATTAACATAAAAAAACGTAATGGGTTCTTGATGTAATGTACAAGATATATATTAGAGATGGGAAAAAAACAAATTTTCGCAAAAACGAGTGTATTTTTTTCCTTTTTTTGGCTTTTCCTCAAAAAAAAAAAAAAATGTTTGAATACAATTTTTTGAAAAAATGCTATATGTTGGGTGAAGATTTACCTTTTTTCAGAATCTAAGTCCTAAAACTACACCCACAAAGAGAAATAAAATAAAAGTTTCTACCTCTTTTGGAGGAAATTATATGTGGATATTATATTTTACCGAATCTAATTTACCGTTTACACGATAAACTGCTATTTAAAAAATCATGAGACGATAACAATTTGGAGGGAATGTCTTACCTGTATTTTATTTGGCATTTCTATAGCATTCGGACTTCGAGGGTGCCATAATGAGAATTGAGAACTGGCGGAGCCAAGCTCTCCGAACATCCTACTAATTTCACCGATGGAAATTTAGAGCATATTTTTAAATCGTACAATTTTTAAGAAGCTAAATTGTTAGTAGGGCAAAGGACTTCTAGCATTTTCATATATGTATTGCGCAGCCGTATAAAAAGGCCAACCATAAAGAAATTTGTTTTAGGTTATGACAAAGCCAAATCCGTAATTTTATGTTGCGTATTTTTGCATATTTAGGTCTTTTTTGCTTTTTGAGACATTTTTAAGTTGTACATGATTTTAAGAAGGATTTTTTTGAACATTTTCTTTAAAAATAATTTATCAAAACAATAATCAGTAAAAAAAATTCTAAAATATTGGAAATTTTTTTTAGAGAGAAGAATGAATATCAAATTATTAAAATAAAAAATAAATTATTCAATATATCTTTAATAAATTATACATTAATTACAGTATAATTAAGTCAATAAATAGTAAAAGTTTCATTAAGCCAAAGTTTTTATTCATTTATTGGTCGTGAACTCATAGTATAGCATATAAATATAGTTTAATTTAGTCAGTAATTGTTTTTTTTTATTTTAAATGTTTTAATTAAAGTAATTAATTTGTGTAATTAAATCGCAAAAAAAATGTTTTAAAGCATATAAATAGTGCATATTTTAGGGTTTTCGAGTGCATAAGTGCTAGCATATTTAGTGTTTTTTTAGAGCTACAAGTCCTCTGCCCTAATTATTAGGTATACCGTTTAGGATTTAGGGCAAACCTCAAGTTTAGTATTCAATTTATAGATATATTTATGTAGACTAAATTATATAGTATAATTTTTGATGTATATGTATGTATAGACATATACCCTAGACACTTCCTTTATGGCTTCAGACTTGTTTAACGAAATGTCGGTTGACCTATTCACTGGAATTTAAAAATGTGTCCAAATAACGCAAGTGCCAAGACGGTGATAGCCTCTTAGTATCTTTTTTTTTGTCCGTCGTCAGATCATTGCGTCATTTCATCAGCTTGATAATTAATGCGTGAACAAACTCAATTAGATCAACCCAACTCGAAGTCGTTATTCGGCGGCACTCATTACGTTATTAATATTACTATCACGATTAGCATACTACATATAAAATGGCAGTTATCCAATTTGGAATGATGTTTTTTTTTTACACATACAATATAAACTAATTTAAAGTTTATTTATACACAATATCATTGATTACAATCTTCGGGTTACGGCAGTTAAACACTATCAAACGTGTCCGCTTTTTTGCGTAATAAAATCATTTCGTTTATTTATAGCTAAATACTGAACGCTACATTTGTATGATGTGGCTTAAATTGTATAATTAGTACCCACTTATTTTAACCTAGCTGTATGTCATTAACAACAACTAATACACAAGTACTACAACTGTAAGATTTCATATCCTAAATCAGCGTTTAGGCAGAATAAAAATATATTACGGCAATTTGCCGTTTCCAGACAAACTAATGGCTGTGTTAATAGGTATAGGCACGTTTAAATAATAATGTTTGAAAGGTTCGCTTGACGCTAATGTAATTTATTATTTTCTTTATTTGTACAAAAAATATGTAATATTCTGTCATATTACCTACTAAAAAACACCAAGTATCCTAAAAACATCTCTTTATAATTAATCTACCTGCACATATTGTGTTGTTTATTTTGTATCTTCTTTTTTTTTGTAAAAATAAAGTTCATTATATTAAAAAAAAATAATCAGTCTTGTGTTTGAATGTAAAATGCATAGGCGTGAGCATACACTAAGGTAGAGGTATTTATAAATGCCAAAAAGAACCCTCGTTGGCCACTACTCCCCTCTATCCCAAAACTTAAATTTAAAAAATAACTCTTAATTACTCATCATATTATGCTCAACATGGAGGAGCTTGGGTGTGCCAAAATGATTTGCGTTCCATACCATAAAGTAGTGAGGAGAGGGGATTTTCTAATATTTCCGGTGTTTAAGCACCCCCACTTATTAGGCGATATCGCACCCTCGTGTTACTTATTCCATCCAATTAGTCAAATTATTAAAATAGAAACGAACAACACATTAAGGTGGTATCAAGAAATACCGAATTTATGATAATGCGGGTAAAGAAGCTTTCAGTTGTTAATACTTGAGTCAGAGAGAAGTGCAAAAGCACAATCATCGTTGCCTATGATTCGGGTATCTCATCCCAGTGATGGCCATCGTGACTGCATATTTAGTCAACTTTGCTTAGCGATGACAATTATTTATAGTCACTGTTTATGTCATACGCGGTTGTCTACTCGAGCAAAATTATTAAGTCGGTTTGTACAAATCCATGACGAGGTTCACGAGGTGATTGACTTTTTACTAGATTTGAAATGGGCGTAAAAAACCTTTCGCTGTAAAAACTACTCTTCCGCCCATGTCGCCGATAGTTCGTTTTCTTTTTCGCCCAATAATAACCTAACCTATCCTACAAGGAGAGATGTGAGATTTCAGCGTGGGGTCAATATCCGCCGTTCAACAGAATATACTAGTTTTGTTCTATCGAGAAAGGTAACTGGTAACTACTACAAATTAGGCATATTATAACATAGAGGAGATTTATGAAACGCTTAATTAAACACACTACACGTCTTTTTTCAAAAAATTATAAATACCATATCCTGCCTTATCTCAGATCTAATTTCTCAGCGTAGTAAGCATTAGTGACCTCGGTATTTTAATTTTTTTTTTTGTAACAAGATTTCCGCCCGAATGTTTTCATTTTTAGATTAGTGATTTTTACTTTTTTTTTGCTATTGCTTTTACAAAAAACGAGTTCGTGATAGGTACACACAAATCCTACAGATCACAATTAATTATCATTTATCGCGTTCGTCAGCCCAAACTCAAAAGTCACATCGACGGGCGATTGTCCGTTATTCGTGGCATTCCAAATTCAGTTCCAGAATAAAGTACAACGCTGTACTAAATAGTATAACATCATTTATTTATTTTTATTAAGAAAAACAACAATCTGCACAATGAAGTAAACATCGTAATGCATTGGTTTACACGAAAAGAAGACATCCGGGGACGGTACTTTTTTATTAGCTTGATTTGATTATAATAAGGTTATGACAGGAGGGTAAGGTGGATTAGGACAAGAAGAATACAATAAAACTTAGAAGGAGTTTCATAGTTTTTTTGATACAGCTATTGGGATAAGAGGTCTCTGCGCACCTGCACTGGCGTTTTAAACGGCGAGGAGCGTTGTTAGGGAAAACATAATTAATAAAAAAAAATGAATAATAAAAATAGGTTCGTCGCTTGGTATAAAGCGTATGCGTATCGGTAGAAAATAGAAGACTTCGAATTATCGATTATGCGTTACGTGGTCAATACTAATTATTTTAAGTACCAACCTAAACAATATTTTTTATGTCCAACCCATATAATTTTTTTTCTAATAGAAAATAACATATTACAAGCTATTAGGTAGTGTGTGTGGCAGTGCGGTCGAACGATATTCTAAACGTGAAACTCCCAAACACACACACACACACCGGACTGCGCACGCTATAATAATAATATAGAGGACAAAAATTCGTAGAAAAAAAACCCATATAAAATAATATACAAGCGTGTAATAAAACTTGGGCCTTATCGACAACCGGTCGGATTTCCGGTTAAATGTATATTGCGTTGCCTATGCGTATAATTTTCAGGCGTTCACTTGCATAATACAACGACCATCATAATGTGAAAAAACGCTCGGTTTTTTTTTTTTTAGCAAAGATTCGTTTTGAACCTATCTCCTCTGTGGCCGTGCACATAATGTTGCGTTTGTTGTATAGTATGCAAATAAGTTCCAGTTAAGTGTTTCAACGGAAGTGTAACTATCATAATATGATTATTATAGCTTACGCCCGAGAGCCCGGTGTGTTCTTCGAGACGACGACGATAAAAACTTAATGCGCACTCGGCCATCGTGTTATTACCTTTTACGAGTTACTCTTTTATTTTTTTTTTTTATCCCGGGAGTGTAATTAACAGATAGAACCGTTCGATCGAGACCCGTACCTATTCATAGAAAATGCGAGTGACGTCGCACGGCCGATGATGTGGGGAAAGGAAACACAACATAACATGATGGCGATAAACAATTCAATATTATTATTAAATTCTACATACAACGCGTTTGGCCGTTATAATAATAATATAAAAAATTAAACGCATAATGTTTTTGTTCTTTATTGAAATAGTATATATATATATATAATATTATAATATTACAATATAAAATAGCGGTTGAATGAAAACAAAAAGAAAAACGGAAGACGCGGTTCGTACGCTATAGGTACAATGCGTATTAACAATAATAAAATTATGATGATTTCATAATAACAGTGCGTTTGTTTTGATTAACGTCTAATAATTTTCGTAGCAAATGAATGACGCACGCTAAGTAATATTGTCGGTCGGCAACAAAATGTTAATGATGGTATATAAAAAAAAAAATAAAAAGTAATAATAATATATAAAAAAGTTATAATAACGTTAGCCGTAATAACTATACCGCTGGGGGCTTACGCGCGTTGTAAGACTATAGTTAAGTAAGCCTGCCTCAATAATAAACATAATAAAGTCTTAAAATTAATAAAAAAAAAAAAATTAGTTTACGATACGTAAAAATGTATTCTTAAGTTTAAAAATCGTCAACAAATCAAAAATATCATGTATTCGAGTGTGAAAAGAAAAGAAAAATACTGCACTTCAAAGGTGTTTTCAGGGCGAAACCCTCAAACGTTATAATCCTAATGCCCCTAAACTTGTACAAAACAAAAAAAAAAAAAAACGAATAAATAATATTATTACACAACGTATTGATGATAGTGAATAATAAATAATAAATAATAATAACTAAGAACGAATTAGGTAACAAAAAAAAAAAAAAAAAAGAAAAGAAAGTTAAATACCCTTATTGCTAAAAAAAAAATATAATTTTCTTTTTATAATTTAAACGAAATAAATATAGGTAGGTAGGTAGATAGTTTTTAAAACAAAAAAAAAACCAAAGCAAAAATCGTCCTCTTTTCCCTTAATACGTACTTACGACAAAAAAAAAAATACTAATCGTTATATATAAATAAATAAAATAATAATACAAATCAAATAATAATTATTATAAAATGTGGAACTTGATGGATTTGGCATTCAGGAATATCATAATAAACGTTGTTCGTCGTTACCCTGCATCGGAAGTTGTTCGCGGGTCGTGTTGAAAAAAATTAAATTTCGCCCTTGAAATGACAACAATATTTTGTTCGTGTCTCAGGTGGTGGTCGGCGTCTCGGTCGTGGTCCGAAGCTTGATCTTGCACCGGTACACGTACGCGTTCACCGACAGATCGTCGTCGGTCTTCAGGCACGCCAATGTCGAGTCGCAGTCGCACCTGTAACGCGGTCGAATTAAAAAAAAAATTATTAATATTCGCGGTCAGAGGAGAGGAAAAAAATTCGGTTTCTCTCAGTTTGTAGTAAACTCACGTGTTTTTCATGAAGTAATCTATCCGACGGGTGAACGGTATGTAAATGGCCCATCCGCACGGGGTGTTGTGATGGCAAATTTTAGGCGTACTCTCCGACCCCGAAGCTATCGACCTCTGTAATAATAATAATAAAATAAATGAATACAAAAGCCTATAAACGATTTTAATATTCGAACGGGAGGACGCGCGCGTGGAAACGACGTATGACGAGATTTTCTTTTTTTAATTAATACAAAAATTCTAAACAAATTCGCTTACCTTATCAATTGAACTGTGGACGGGAGAAGCGCCGGTGGTGGACAGGATAAGACACAGGCAGAAGAACACCAGAGAGACGGCGGTGGTCAGCCGCAACGGTCTGCTGCTGACGTAAGTCTTTGCCGTCGTGTGGCCGCCGTCCCTTTGCTCTTCGGCCGAACAACCGGACCTCCTTTGCGCCACCGCCGCCGTTGTCGTCGTGTTATTCCTGCTCATAATCGTCTCGAACGTTTCCATCTTGCTGGGTTATATATATATATATTTTTTATTTCAAAAATAATCAACAAAACTCTGATCGATCGTCTGCCGCGTGCTCGGAACGCACCAAAAAGAAAAAATTAAAATGCCGAAAAATCGCAACAAAAATTAATTTTTCTTTTATAACCGGACGGCCGAGCGCGTTTTGTTCGACGTAGGTACAAAAAAAAAAAAAACAAAACCAAAAGTTAATCGAAAATCGCACGTACGCAGACAGACGGGCAAAACGGATACGAGTACGTGTGTGTGTGTGTGTGTGGCTACTCACGTGCGTACAGCAAGTGTCAGGGTGTGTAGACTGTTTCAAATTGAGGCGGCAAATGGATTTTATACAGACAGGCACGGTGGGGGGCCGCGCTGCTGAATGGAGCGAGTTCCGCCGCCGCCGCCGCTGTCGACGTCGCCGCCGCCGCCGTTGCCTTACACTCGAAGGATTCGGCGACGACGGGTGAGTATCTTCGTGTGTGTTTTTTTTATTTTATTTTTTATTTTTTTTTTACCGTTCAGTCACACTCACAGTCTAATTATCGGATTATGGTTCACGTTATTTAACGCCGCGTCGGTGATTCATACAGTTGTACAAGAAATTCCAGTACAACTTTCATTCGCGTGCGTATGTCCACAATTTGTAATTATTATAATTAGTATATTATACATAAAATATGTGTATACACACACACGTACAGTACCCACACGAGCGTATCGGCATGATAAAATATGCACCTGTATGAATCACCGGCGTTTTTACGAGGACCGTAAAAAAAAATATACATGTATGTACCTATTATTTTATAGGTCCTTCTTCTTCGACGAACGTCCGCGAAGTTTCCGAAACTATCGCCGGTGACTAATGCCGATGATATCGCCGTAAATGTAAAACGTGTTTTATTTTCAATAAAACAATTTAAGTATAATAATTTTCGCCCCCTCCCCCACCCCCGTTCGTCCAGGCAGCGGAAGTCCTACACGCAAGTTAACTGCGTTGGAATTTCGATAAATATTACACCGCACAGTAATGTTATACCGAAATATCGTACTTTTACATTGGCCAGTGGGCCACTGGATACTAATTAATATGTTTAATTAATTTAATTAGCGCTATCAATTTTTTTATTGTATTTCAATAAGTACAATATTGAAAATATAAAGACTTCGTTTAAAATGTAGATACGGAAAGAAGCAAATATAATGATGACACTGTGATAGTAAATACATCAAATTACACGGCATATTATACACTATAAATTTACATACGGAATTTGGAAGTATGATCGATAAGTCGGGTTAAAATCGATAGATAAATCTCGCGAGGCTAGTTGCACCAGTTTATACATTGCACGCTATTATCCATTGTATAGTATGTGAACAGTCGAACGCGGAAACAGTGGAAAATATTCACGGTATAATTTTTCGTCGGAATTTCAGTAAATTACTTAATCGATATACATTTGTATAAAACCGAAGTGTAATTCTTTGAAACCGAAAACCAAACAGATCCTATTCATCAAAACTGTCCTTTTCACATATCCCACCGACCTTATTTTTCGGCATCACAGGCATAACAATACATCCAAAGAGAAATACCTGCCGTTAACCTTACTGTTACGTTCTTAGAAAAAAAAACCAATTCGCAAACGCGATATTATTTAATGTTACAGCTAGTATAACTCGGTCGTTACCAAAAGATACAGTAAAACAAGTTATTTGTCTCGTACAAATAATACAAAATTAATTTTTATCTACAACTTGTCTGACGACTGTCTAGGAGTGTTGGAGCTGTCTGTCTGTAAAACTCCCATGTAAAAAACCCGCGAAAATTATTATGATAAGCTAAGATAAGTAGCACGTGAAGAATGAATTAACTTTTACTGTACTTTATGATATTTTAGCGAGCCCGAAGTGTAAGCATATAATATAGAAACAATATCACCCTGACAAGGAACCAGCGTGTGTGGCACACACAAAATGTGAGCAACAGATATTTTTCCAGCTAATGATATTTATTTTTACATACGCTGATTATAACCGAACCTCAAACCGGAAAGCCTTAGAAAATAACATTATAATACGTACACCAATATCATTTTTTGACCAATCTCAATATATTTGTTCTAAAATACCTAAGTAAGCATGATTTGTATAACGGCCAATTTGCGACTGTGTACCTGACTCACGTGTACCTACAATTTTATTTGTTTTTTTTTTATTATTATTAATAGTAACTATTACATTTAGTGTGCTCGATTTAGGATAAACAGTGAAATGATAATTAAATTAATTTTTAATCTATCTTATAGTTTTATAAATGTATACATTTCTGATTTTCTGTATAAATGTACAATACTATTCTTTTAAACGAGTCGTCCATTTGGTTTAATTTCAGTATTTACATTCATATGGTTTGAAACTGTAGTATAGGTGTTTTCTAGTATTAAGGACGGTTTGGAGTACGTGCTACCTGTCACGACTCACGTGTAATTTACTCAATGAAAATATAGTTCTACGAATCTTGTTACTGCGGTTTCCGAGCCAAATAATTTTGTTTTTAAATCTAACTACTCCGACCGCCAAGGAACGTAACGTTATAAATTATAATAAAATGCATCATACAAAGTGTTGAGTGCATATTTAATTATCATAATGGAATTAAAAAATATGTTGGTTTTACAATTATTCGTGAATTAATTTTATTATTACATTTTTAGCCTCACCGATTTGTATCTTTGGACTGATCTGTAGCGGAAATCGTTCGTCATAGGTACAAAAGTGGATAATTTTCACCCTTCTAACCAAAACACTCCAGATAAACCTCACATCAAATGATATCGACTTTTTAATAGTTATTATTGTTATTTAAAGTTCTCGACATTATATCGTTATGGTCTTGTGCCCATCTCGGTACCATCATCAAAATCATGACTTTTTTTTTAATTTAATAATATGAACATAAACGGTAGAATATAGAATCACAAAACTCAGTCGAAGTTCCTCCATTGGGAGGTCACTTAATTCTGCCAATCTGACCTTTGTAAATGCTATATCTATTGGGCTTGTTGTTCTGCATTGTAACAGATTGCATAAATACAAATTAAATAAACAAATTGAGCATTAAGACACGTTTTATGAAAATGTTTATAAGGAGGAGTGAGGACGTCACAAGAATATGTTTTTGTTATAGCGTTAACAGTTATAGCGTAAAATATCGTGTTTTTTAAATTAAAGATCAAGACTTTCTCTAAAATGTTAAATGTAAATTTCTTGATAGATTTATTAATTATTAGTAACTATGTCATAGAGAAATTATTTTTACATTTTCCAAATGCTTATAAGTTATACCTTTGCTTAAACATATTCGATAAACCATCACCAATGTCAGAATTTCTTTTTGTCCATCGTTATTTTCTTAGATGTATTTTTTATTAATTCCTTAGATAAGTGCATCTTCTAGGACATGGTTTACACACAAAATAAATAACTCGTGTGGTTTCATAGATAAATCTCACGACGTGCCTAAATGCTGTCAAGTGATTAGAACTATTAAGGAAACAATATAATATGGAGACTAGATTAAATACCCTTAAGTGCACCGATTATTTGAATTATAATCAATTTAATCCAATATATTTAAGATATTAAAAATAACATATAGGAAGAATTACCGATAAAGAAGACCGAGAGGGCTTTAAGTACAAGCAAGATAATAATATATTATATCATTATTATTCTTATATTTTTGTAGGTAGATGACACGTAACGTGATATAATCGAATAGACTTTTAAAGCCAAATGGGCAAGTCTCACAAAACGCATAATTTCCGATCCGTTAAATATATATTTCGACTTATTTTTAATTTAACTGGACTATTCCAACCAAAAATTTTATTACAGAGATAATAGAGATGTATATGTTTTGTTAGGTATACAACTTTCTAAACTAACATATTTATCGCGAATTTTATTTAAATATATGACACGATATCTTCTCTACATGACTGTCTTCTACAAAACTTCATTTATATATTTTTATGATAATATAAAAAAATTAAAACTAATCAACACAGTTAAGTAAAACAAAAATCACCAGTTCAAAGTATGAATATAGTTTTCTGAAAAATAAAATATCTCTATTTCATTAGTTATTAATATGGTGTTGTGATTTGTATTGCTAACACTAATCAGTTATGATATTTCCATTTGTCTAAAGTTATCTGTAAAACAGTTTTATTGTACGTAACTTTTAATAACTCAATCTATCGCATGCTAATCAGCTCTAATAAACTCTATAATAGTTTAATGATTGACTTTTTGTACTTTTAGTAAATCACATACTTAATCGTGTATTAGACTAATTGTTGGTATATTATGCAATTAAAAAAAAAAAAAATTAATCTATTGCGACCCATAAAACATGCAATATTAATTTATTATGGCGATAAATTTTTGTACTTAATATTTATCTAAAACGTTTATTTTAATTATTATTTCTCGTTGGGCAAAACATAACTTTACCAAATTGTCTTAATAAGTTCTTCTTAATAGTGTAATAAGTGATAATAATTATTGGATAATTAAAAATATACGAATCTATTTGTATTATTATTTTCTAATTGGCTAGTTATGTAAGTGTAAGTGTACCATGGAAGGTGCACGTCTTATTAGTTTTCATATACTCCCTGTATAATTTGCATACCTATTAATATAACAAAATATTACTATTACCGGCCGTTCTGTAAAAAGCTACGTTTGTTAATTTCTTGGCACCGAATGAAAATGTAGATTTGTTCGCCACGGCTTTTCATACATAATTACACAGTTTTAAAAATATCTTTGTTTAACCATATTCTCATTATTCGTCATCTACTAAAATCATTACAATAAAAATAAAATATTAGTTCATATTTTAAAATAAAATTAACTAGAAATGACAAACTAACATTTTTTAGTACTGCAAAGCGTGTCTAGAATTTTGGCGACCTGATTTTGGTGCTGATTTTTTTTTTTTTGGTCAAATTTCCCTGTTCTCTATTATTGAAAAAATGTAATGAACTGTAAAAATAAATGTTTACATTTTTATTAATCTCTAACATTGATGAATTATATATTGTACTTTAAATTTGATTACGAATAACATTTATTTTGTTTTTTTTTATTAATATTTTATTAACGAAAATTTCTATTGATGTCTAAATATTCATACAGTAAAACTATTAAGAAAGACGTTTGGTTTTCATTGTTGACCTTGGCTATTTTTTTTTTTAAATTTATTTAAAAGCACTAAAGCCGTAGGAATAGTTAATAT